AATTAAACAGGGAAAGGGCTTCGTTGTTCTGGGTCCAAGGCTTCCTTGGGGCTTATTTCATATTGTGCTTACTACAGACAGCATATTTAGAATAACGAATGCTGGGAGGGCAAAGGTTTAATTGCTGCTAAATCATGCAAATTGTCCTGGAGGTACCAGTCCCACCGTCTCTGCTTTGCTTGGAAAAGTGGATTCAAGACTGCTAGTGACTTGCTCATATGGGCATGGCATGGTGGAACACCTACCCAATTTTAATTCTGCTGAAAGGCAAGTTCCTGTCCGTATCCACCCGTGCGAAGTGATTTATTTAGAAACAAATAAAAGTTAAGTTGGTTAAGTGGCAGGGAAACAGGAGAGAAAAGAAAACGGGGCCAAGGAGAATTCTAGCCAGTCCGGGTTATCTTGGTGTTTAGAAAGTCAACGCAAATGTTTATGGAAATCTCCCCCCCCCCCCCCCAAGGCACAATCCACATCCTCTTGGAAATGAAATTCGATGCAACTGGAGGATTTACTAAGTCAACATAAAAGTTTACTATGTTTAGAATGGTATCATCATGTCTGCGACTGGAAAAACGAGCCGGCTATTTGTGTTTCGTATTTTCCCATCTCGAGGCCTAAAAATAAATGGGCGCTATTGTATTTTTCTCCTATTGTTTTTGTTTTTCTCCTATTACTTAGGGATTGGAGGCTAAAACAGAGGAAGAACGGCTGACGGAATTGGGTATGTCTAGTGCAGTGGTTCTCAACCTTTTTAATGCCGTGACCCCCCAACCGGTCGTAAGTCGAGGACTACTCAACTGGGACAGCACCGTTTGCAGAATGGGACTTTTGGCGGGCTCAGCAGGGCAGAGACAGCCTGGACAATTCCTATTGGCTTTGGAAAGCCAATAGAATTAGACTCTACTCAAGAGAGTCTATCCTATTGGCTTTCGAAAGCCAATAGAATAAAAGGGAGCAGCACAGCTAAGGAAAAGGGGGGAAAAAATGGCAGACTGCGTTGTTTGGCGACCCCCGTGAAATGGTCGTTCGACCCCAAATGGGGTCCCGACCCACAGGTTGAGAACCACTGGTCTAGTTTAAAGAAAAGGGCTAGGGGTGACACGATAGCAGACTTCCAATATTTGAGGGGCTACCACAAAGAAGGGTGTGTGTGTGTCAACCTCTTCTCAAAAGCACCTGAAGCCAGAATAAGAAGCAATGGATGGAGACTAACCAAGGAGAAAACCAACCTAGAATTAAGGAGAAATTTCCTATCGGTGACAACAATTAACCAATGGAATGGCTTCCTTCAGAAGTCGTGGGTGACCCATTATCGCTGGAGGCTTTTAAGAAGAGACTGCACAGCCACTTGTCTGAAATGGTACAGGGTCTCCTGCTTGAGCAGGGGGCTGGACTAGATGACCTCCAAGGAACTGACACATATCCACCTGTTGTGGTTCCGGCTAATGAAACATTCCAAAGAACTTCCAGGCATTTATTTTCCTAAAAGTCTTTTACTGTTACAAAATGTCGGCACGGGCACAACGGAGGGATGCTAGGATCCACTTCTCTTCCTCTGAGCAGTTAAATTATCAGCATGTTCCCTCCCTAAATTAGCTGTCATATCTCACACTATCCAAATAGTTGAAGATCAAATGTTTTCTTCCTCTTTCTTTCCCAGGCTTTACCCCCAACCCCCCTTCTGCTCTTTATTAACCCCATATTTACCAGACAAATAGTAGTAAAGTTGGAAGGGACCTTGGAAGTCATCCAGTCCAACCCCCTGCTCGGGCAAGAAACCCTACACCATTTTGGACAAATGGCTGTCCAGTCTCTTCTTAAAAACTTCCAGTGTTGGAGCATTCACTGCTTCTGGAGGCAGGCTGATTGTCAAAAGCAAGAATATACAATATTTGCAGCGTTGACACCACCATGACCAAGGAATTTCCTGCATTCGGAAAGCGGCATGGGACCTGGTGGGATGGGAAGAAGGCCCAAGGCCTGCAGGAGGGGTGGGGGAAATGGGGAGAAGATAGATGGGCAGGCACTCCGGCTTCCCTGTAGTCCAGTGGTTCTCAACCTTTTTAATGCCGCGACCCCCAACCTGTCGTAAGTCGAGGACTACTCAACCGGTCGTAAGTCGAGGACTACTCAACTGGTGCAGCACCGTTTGCAGAATGGGACTTTTGGCGGGCTCAGCAGGGCAGAGACAGCCTGGACAATTCCTATTGGCTTTTGAAAGCCAATAGAATTAGACTCTATTCAAGAGAGTCTCTTCTATTGGCTTTCAAAAGCCAATAGAACAGCGGTTCTCAACCTATGGGTCGCCACCCCATTTGGGGGAAAATGGCGGACTGCGTTGTTTGGCGACCCCCATGAAATGGTCGTTCGACCCCAAATGGGGTCCCGACCCACAGGTTGAGAACCACTGCTGTAGTCGGTCATAAGACTGAATAAACTGCAGGGCACTGCAGTGGCCGTCACTTTGGGACCAGGTCGTTAAGTGGCCTTTTGGACGGGCCGCAACTTTGAATGGCTGACAGTTCATGACTCAAGCACTACTTCTAATTTAGTAAGATGCTAGGCTTGTAAAAAGAAAGCAATCCATCAAAGGAATGCCGGCTACGTCTGCAGATCTGGGGTGTTTGTTAGTCTCTCCTCACAGCCTTAGCTTGAAGAGGGGGACTCTAGCTAAAGGAATCCAAGATTTAGAACATAGAATAACAAAGCTGGATGGGATCTTGGGGGGTCTTCTAGTCCAGGGCTTTTTCAACCAGTGGTATGGGTACCACCTGTGGTACATTGGCACCTGGCAGGTGGTAGGTGACCATGCTAGAAAAGGGGTAGCGGGGAGGGGAATGAGCTGAACCGGTGGCAGCACTGCACAAGCCTGAGCGAGAGACGGCTGGAGCTGCAGGGCTGGCAGGGCTCAGTGGAAGCCCCAGGATCAGTGCTGCTTTCCAGCTGATCAGCGCTTCTTTGGGACTGTCAGGGCTCAGCGGAAGCACCAGGATCAGCGCCAGGCTCCAGCTGGAGCTCAGCATTGATCCTGGCCCTTCTGCTGAGCCCAGAAGAAGCACCAATCAGCTGGAAAGCAGCACTGATCCTGATGTTTCTGGTGAGCCCAGAAGAAACGCCGATCAGCTGGAATGTTGCAGCCTCTCCAGGGTGGTAGTGGGGGAATGAGCTGAACTGGTGGCAGCACCGCACAAGCCTGAGCGAGAGACGGTTGGAGCTGCAGGGCTGTCAGGGCTCAGTGGAAACGCCAGGATCAGCGCCAGGCTCCACCTGAAGCTCGGCGCTGATCCTGGTGCTTCTGCTGAGCCCTGAAGAAGCACCAATCATTTGGAAAGCAGCACTAATCCTGACGCTTCTGCTGAGCCCTGAAGAAGCACCGATCAGCTGGAATGTTGCAGCATTTCCAGGGTCTTGTGATTTACATTCAGATGCTTGGCCACTGATTCATATTTATGACGGTCACAGTGTCCCAGGGTCATGTGAAGTGACCAAAACCTGCTGCAACCACCCAGCAGGCGGGGGGAATAAAAACCAAACACCCCCCACCCCACCCCCATTGCCAATCCTCAACAGAAATGCTCACAACCATGAAAACCTCGGACAGGAGGAAGAGCGCGGGTGGGCGGGCAGGCAGGTGTCTTGCTCAGCTGTGGCTTGGGGGAGGGGCACTTTTTTCAGTGCCATTGTAACTTCAAACAGTCACTCAGCACACTGTTGTAAGTCGAGGACTACCTGTATTTTATCACTTTTTTCCTTTTTTTGGGGGGGGGGGTGATCAAGTTTTTGACAACTTGCTAAGCAACCGGTGGTCCTCGGATGTTGCCATATCCTAAAAGTGGTACAATGGGTGAAAAGGTTGAAAAGCCCTGTTCTAGTCCAATTCCCCGCTCAAGCAAGAGGCCCTAGACCAGAGGTCCCCAACCTTTTGGGCACCAGGGACCAGTTCCGTGGAGAGAGGTTTTTCTGCGGACTGGAGGGTGCGTGGTTTTGTGTGCTGCCTGCATCCCGCGGATGGGGCTTTGCTAGTTTGTGTGGACCGGTTGCTGGCATGCTGTGGCCCAGTACCGGTCCACGGACCAGGGGTTGGGAACCCCTGCCCTATACCATTCTGGACAAATGGCTGCCTAACCTCTTCTTGAAAATCTCCAGCGATGGGGCACCCACAACTTCTGTAGACCAGCTGACTGATTGTTCTCATTGTGGGGAAGTTTCTCCTTAGCTCTGTGTTTCATCTCTCTTTAACAAGCTTCCACCCATTACTTCTTGTCCTGCCCTAAGAGGTCATCCAGTCAACCCTGCTGAGAGCTGCCTGACCACCCTCAGTGCAGGGAGCCACCCATTTTAACTTCAATAAATATTTTTTTTTGCACTCAAAAAGAAGATTATCTGGCTCTCGTAACATAACTGGGTGAGCCTTCCGAACGCTTTTTTTTTTCCTTCTCCAAATGCAGGAAAAGCTGCTTTAGGAAATGAAGCCGCTGTGTGTTTGAGTAAACGCTGACGATCTTGAATTGGACGTATGTGTGCAACGTGTGGAATTATGCAACAGGGATCTTCCCAGCCTGAAGGTCTCCAATTATGATGGAATGCCCAGCTGATTCAGTCCATAGAGCTGGGGAAACCTAATATTAATATACAAAATTGTATCCGGTGAGCACGTGAGCTCTCTAATTGCAAAGCCCACCTGGACTGACATATTGCAGGAGAAGGACTGGCAGAATCTGGGGGCGGAGTCAAAAGAGGAATCAGCCTAATAGTCACCAGAGAAATAAATCTAACTGCCCTTGGATTCAGTTGACCCTTATCTAAGTGTTAGCAGGTGCTGACTGCTAGTTGAAGATGTTCCTTTGCATAGGCTTTTAAGCAACAAATGAGCAATAAACCACGTGTAGATCTTGTCTTTCATGCCCGACACATATCCACATTGACCAGACTAGGAGATTTAAAAAAAAATGGACAAGTCAATTAACATTTTCTAAGTTGAAACAGAAATAAACAATTACCTGATGGAATACAGGCTGCTTCCAGTTTAGGTATACCTGCAAAATGCAAACACAAGATACTGTTATCCTCTCGGCACTGATGGATAAACAGTTGGGAAAAAGTCATGGAACACTGTGTGACAACCGCGACACAAAGGTGGATAGATATGGCGATACCGCCCCCCCCAACAGATGAATGGTGGGTGAAGAGGTTAAAACTTGCTGAAATGGCCAAATGGACTTGTTTGATTAGAGAGAAGATAATTATCTATGTTTAGTGGTCAGTGGAAATCCCTTATGGTATTTTTGTGTAAAAAAAAAAAAAGTAAACTTTATGGTTTTGATCATTAGGCAAGGGACAGTAGGGAAAAAAGAGATAAATGATGTAACTTTAGAGAAAGAGGTATAATTGCATTTGTTACTGCTGTAAAAATAATTTACAATTATACCCCCTTTTCTATTTCTATTTTCTATTTCTCCCGCTAACCTTTTTTCTTTTTTGCACCTTTAGTTTTTTTCTTTCTTTCCTTTTTTTCTTAGTCATTCTATTTCATTTGGTATTAGTCTTATTCTTCTGTTTAAAATTTTCAATAAAATTATATGTATGTGTGTGTGTATATATATATATACACATACACACACACACACACACAAATATATATCCTCGAAGCACGAAGTTGAAAACACCAGCCTGAAGATGACGAATGGGACTTCGTCAAAACGTGGCCAAGACACTTCCAATTTTACGCGGGAGAAAACCCGAACAACAAAAGACTTACATACAAACACCCGCGAAAACCTCAGAAAACAATCAAGATATATATATATATCTGTATGTAGATATAGATATATAGATATATTAAAAAAAGAATTCTGCGAGCAACGGTTTTCAAAGTTGGGCTCCGAAGAAGCAGATTTTGATGATTTTTGAACTTTGGAATGCCTCTGGTTAATGAGCAAAATAATAAAGTAACTGATCATAGAAGAAAGCAGAGCACAAGCTCAGATGGTCATATTTTGGACAAATGGTGTCTAATTTACTGGAGAAGTCCATAATGCTGGGAAAGGTGGAAGGAAAAAGTAGGACCAGAAGCATGGTGGATAGATTTTATTAAAATAGTTGACTGTACTGGAGGGTCTAAAACAGGGATCCCCAACCCCAGGCTGCATCCCAGTACAGATGCTTCTCGTTTAGGAAAATTCACCATTGCTGCAATAAAACAAAACAAAACAAAACAAAAATGCTTTTCCGTATCACAGTACAGGCAGTCCTTGACTTATAACCCTTTGTTTAGTGGCAGTTTAAAGTTACAACAGCACTGAAAAAAAAATGACACAGGACCATTTTTCACATGGCCATTGCGGCATCCCCATGGGCACGGGATCAATGGCTGCTTGGCAACTGGTTGATATTTATGATGGTTTCCCATGTCCCGGGGATCACGTGATCCCCTTTTATGACTTTCTGACCAGGAAATTCAATGGGGAAGCCAGATTCCCTTAACAACCGGGTTACTAACTTAACGGCTGCAATGATTTGCTTAAGTATTGTGGGAAGAAAGGTCACAAAATGGGGGCAAAACTCACTTAACAACTTAGCAACGGGACATTTTGCTAAATGAAATGGTATAGGGCAGGGGTAGGCGACCTTGGCTCTTTCATGGCTGGCTGAGGAATTCTGGGAGTTGAAGTCCCCAAGTCATGAAGGGACCATAGTTCCCTCATGCTGGCTGTGGAATTCTGGGAGTTGAAGTCCAGGAGTCATGAAGGGGCCATAGTTCCCCCATGCTGGCTCAGGAATTCTGGGAGTTGAAGTCCGCAAGTCATGAAGGGGCCATAGTTCCCCCATGCTGGCTCAGGAATTCTGGGATTTGAAGTCCGCAAGTCATGAAGGGGCCAAAGTTCCCCCATGCTGGCTCAGGAATTCTGGGAGTTGAAGTCCACGAGTCATGAAGGGCCCATAGTTCCCCCATGCTGGCTCAGGAATTCTGGGAGTTGAAGTCCACGAGTCATAAAAGAGCCAAGCTTGCCTACCCCTGTTATAGGGTTTCCTGCCTGAGCAGGGGGTTGGAGTAGATGACCTCCAAGGTCCCTTCCAACTTTATTATTGTTGTTGTTGTTATTTTGAACTCAATTATGGTCGTAAGTCGAGGACTACCTGAAAAACAGATGAGAAAGGAACACCCGTGCACTGTTTGCAAGCACCCCACCTCCTTATAAAAACAGCTTGAGTAAGAGAAATCTTGCTTACTATGCTAACGCCAATGCTGTAGGCTAGTAGTAGAAAGATGAGGGGGTAGTTGATTGTTTTCTTGTACTTGAAACACTCGTACCTGAAACAAACAGACAAAACACACAGAGGATTAAAGAGTCCTTAAGGAAGACAAAAGAAATCCTTAATGCACAAGGCTTTCAAACAAGAGCTTTTGGGGAGACTGGGAGCCACAAAACACTTCTTGGCAACTTTAAATTCTTTGTGGCACGTAGGATGCAAATAGTAACGGTATTCCTTCATTTTTCCAATATTGTGCAAATATTATTCTTGCCGCTGTTGTGACACGTAAAAATCAAATACAGGCTTTGTTTGTTAATCTTTTCTGGCATTGTACCTAATAAAAAAAAAGTTCAGGTTTAAAACCTACATGTTCTCCCAACATCTTTTCTAACCAAGTATGTATCTTTTTCCAATAATTCTTTACTTTATCACGTGTCCACCAAACGTGATGATAATACATGCCTGATTGACTATGAGACTGAAAGAAAAAGAAGAAAGAGTATATTATCAAACTTGGGACTTATTTTACAGATGGTTAGAGGAAAGAATAAAGGATTAGGCCACTAGGAATTAAATATGTGTTAGCGTAGTTAAACTCAGGCAACATGTTGGTTGAAAAATTATTATTGTAAGTTTGAAAAAAATGAATAAAATCCTATTTTTTAAAAAAGGGATGCAAATAGTAAGGGGACTTGTTTGTAAGTTGCTGCTGCTGCAGGATGATTATTATTCAATAAATTTATATGCCGCCCATCTCATCCGAAGTGACTCTGGGTGGCTTACATTATAATAAAACATAGGCCTATAAAAACAAATATCCAAATAATTAAAATGTCAAAAGAAGGCAGGCTAAATCTTGTGGGAGGTGGCTCAGATTCTGCCAGTTCTATGCATGATTCGGCAGAAAGGCGAGAAATTTCAAAGCCATGGTAATGTGGGAGGAAAAAAGCACACCCTAGGTCAGGGATAGGCAACATCGGCTCTTTTATGACTCATGGACTTCAACTCCCAGAATTCCTGAGTCAGCTATGCTATGAGTCAGGAATTCAGCTATGCTGACTCAGGAATTCTGGGAGTTTGAAGTCCATGAGTCATAAAAGAGCCGAGGTTGCCTACCACTGCCCTAGGTTATGCCTTTTCCAAATGAAGGTGATCTGAAATAGGAATAAATAAATATTCATGCCTGTTCATTTTGTTTTCGGCTTTGGCAAGCCGAAATTGCAGATCTCTGCGTTATACAAACTTGTCAAACTTGTTTCAATAAGAGGCATAACCTATCTTTGTCATTCTTAAAATAAAACACTCAGAACAAAAGAATGTTTTGTGCTTCCCCCCCTTCTCTAAAATTAGATCCACGTACAATAAAGCAAGAGGCACAGTATATTAAGAACAAAATTGTTTCACATTACCAAAAGCATTACTTTATGAACAAATGCTCTCTCCCCCGCTTATATTATATATATTATATTAACCACTATAATAAATGATGATTGCACATTTTAGTACAGCTTAAGATTAGAGGGGGGGAAAATGGAAAATCAAACATTCAAAGCACATTATGGGCTTTGCCGTGCCATCAAACTGTCACCAGAGCACAGACTTTAATGATTTGATAAATTTAGAACCAAAGAAACTCATCATCAGTTTATTGGGGGGGGGAGGTTGTTTCAGCAATTTTTTAAAAAAGGGATTGAGTTTATTTGGGAGTTACTGTAAAAAAAAAAAAAAAACTAGGATGTCAAATATAGATGCTTATTCTTCTCTCAGAGTTACCAATGTCTAGAATCAACATTCAATTCTCCAGCAGCTTTGTTTTGCAGAAAAAATCAATCTTTAAGTGTGAAGGCTAAAAATTATTTTAAAAAAATCAAGCAAGTAAAAAATAAGTTTTGTGGGCCGAAATCTTGGTTTCTTTGTTGGCATACAAGTTACAGCCAGCTGGGTGACTTGGGGCCAATCACCAGGAGACGGTGAGTTCTAGTCCTGCCTTAGGCACAAAAGCCGGCTGGGTGACTTGGGGCGAATCACCAGGAGACGGTGAGTTCTAGTCCTGCCTTAGGCATGAAAGCCAGCTGGGTGACTTGGGGCCAATCACCAGGAGATGGTGAGTTCTAGTTTCACCTTAGCCATAAAAGCTGGCTCGGTGACTATGGGCCAATCACCAGGAGATGGTGAGTTCTAGTCCTGCCTTAGGCACAAAAGCCGGCTGGGTGACTTTGGGCCAATCACCAGGAGATGGTGAGTTCTAGTCCCGCCTTAGGCATGAAAGCCGGTTGCGTCAATCACTAGGAGATGGTGAGTTGTAGTTTCACCTTAGCCATGAAAGCCGGCTGGGTGACTTTGGGCCAACCACCAGGAGATGGTGAGATGGCGAGTTCTAGTCCAGCCTTAGCCATGAAAGCCGTTTGGGTGACTGGGCCAATTACCAGGAGGTGGAGAATTCTAGTCCCTCCCTGCAGATTCAGTACTGTACCTCCCATAGCTATTTCAGCACCCATGCCTATGCGAGTGAGATCCAATTTAAGTCTGTGAGGAACTCTTAATTGTTCATGAGTTATGAAAGAGAAACAGATGACAGACACTTACAGGCAGTAGACAAAAACGCAACAACTGTAGATCATGGGCAGCTCATCCAACAGCTGCAAAAAGCAGAACAAAAAGGATTATTTGTGCACATAGAAAAGATTCAAAGAAAGATGGCGGCCCCAAGTCAAAATGGCTAGAGCACGGCAACTTTTAGTGAACAGGGTCAGCATTAATTTTTTTGCTTTAATGAGGGAGGGAGCTAAGAACTGCAATGGAGAAGAAGATGCATAAAAGTTGGACCCAAAGTTTTCAATATTGGAAGACTGCTATCACGTCACCCCTGGTCCTTCTTTTCATTAACCAGACATATCAAACACAAGGCCCGAGGGCCGGATGTGGCCTGCAAAGTGGTTTCATGTGGCCCGCAAAACCATCCTGGAAACAGTGAGGGAACGGCCCCCGCTGCCTTGATCCTGGCCCAGGCCGGCCGGGAGCCAATGTACAATTTTGTGGTGGCCATCTATGCTGAAACGCATTCAGTCTTAGCTCCACAAGGCCGTCCAGAAACAGCGAGGAACCAGCCCCTCCTGCGTTGCCCCGCCCCCTGGGTGCATGGTGGGGAATGTGAGGAATGAAGAAATGCACCATCGCCTGGAAGTGGCCAGCAAATGGCCCTCGCCTACTTCACATATCCGGCTTGATGGGCTACGGTGGAGGGGTTTCAGCAGGCAGTGAGGCTCCTCCAGTGGACCATGCTTTGGCACTTGCCCCAGTCCCCCCCCCTTCTGCCAGAGACCCTCAGATCTGTCCCACTCCTGCCCAGGCCCCCACAGGCACCCTTGACGCGAACGATGTAGAGCTGGCCACGCCCACCCAGTAGGCCACACCCACCCAGTAGGCCATGCCCACCCTGGCTACACCTGCCCCCCCCAAGGACAACCGCAATGCTGATGTGGCCCTCAATGAAACTGAGTTTGACATCCCTGAACTAAACATACCCAATGCCTGCAATTGTTCTTTGTTAAGTTTTAGCTTCCAGTCCCTTAATCTTCTTTGTTGCTCTTCTCGTCACTCTTTCCAGTCTCAACATCTTGTTTATATTGTGGTGATCAAAACTGGATGCCGTATTCCAGGTGTGGCCTTACCAAAGCCTTATAAAGCGGTATCAACACTTCACGTGATCTTGGTTCTATCCTTGTTAATGCAGCCTAGCAATGTGTTGGCTTTTTGGGTGGCTGCAGCACACGGCTGGCTCCTATTTAAGGGACTGTCCACCAGATTCCAATTATGTATAGGCCAGTGGTGGCGAACCTATGGCATGGGTGCCAGAGACGGCACTCTGGGCACGCGTGCCGTCGCCCCAGTCCTAGGCTTTCAGCTGGGTTTTATAAAACCTTTTTGCTTTAGGCCTCCGCCGCCATGTGCAAAAAAAAAAAAAAAAAAGGTTCTATCAATCAGTCAATTTCAACTTCTCGCGGGGGGGAAAAAAAAGATCTTGCAAAGTTGGAATTGATTGATTGAACTTTTTAGTCCCACCCAGTCTGCTGTTACCACCGCAGCCACACCCACCCGATTGGCCACACCCACCCGGCATCCGACGATGCATAATTGGCTTTTGGATTGCAGTTTGGGCACTCGGTCTCTAAAAGGTTCGCCATCACTGCTATAGGCAGACTTTATTCTAGATTAGTCAATCCTTCTGTATTGTTGTCTGGACTCCTGGATAAAGTATTTTCACTATCCACAGCAGTTGTTACTGGCATATTTGGTCACTAGGAGTTCAAAATAATAGCCCATAATCAATCCACCGCAAAACAAACTATGAATGCACCCCTACCAACCAAGCAGGAAAGCAAAACGGATCCAGGCAGCTCACTTTGCAATGGATACAAAAGGTGCACGCTTTTTCAAGGGCTACTAACCTGCATTTCATACTTCAGGGTCATGTGGAAGCACCAGGAGCCCAGGCCCACGGCTGAAATCCAAATGAGAAAGGATTATGCATATGTTGTATGTAGTATGTTTAGGTGTGTGTCATGTGTGCCTTTCACTTTGAGAGCGGGCAACTAAATTTCACTTTTGAAGTGTGCCCTTGTGCCCACAGTAAAAAAAAAAAAAAACGACAATAAAGGTTATCTTATCGATTATGTGAGGAATTCCAAATAGGAGACAGAATTACTGCTTTTGATACTTGGATACATTTCTTTTTCTTATTTATTTTTTATGAAACGCATATGCCTCCCCTCTCGCCAATAAGGCGACTCTGAGTGGCTTACTAAGGTCCCTTCCAGCTCTGTTCTGTTCTGTTCTGTTGTATTCTATTCTATATTCTATTCTATATCCTATCCCAGTGGTGGCGAACCTATGGCACGGGTGCCCGAGGCGGCACTCAGAGCCCTCTCTGTGGGCATGCACGCCGTCGCCCCAGTCCTAGGCCTTCAGCTGGGTTTTGTAAAACCTTTTCACTTTAGGCCTCTGACGCCGTGTGCAAAAAAAAAAAAAAAAGTCTAATCAATCAAATCAATTTCAACTTCTTGCAGGAAAAAAAATCTTGCAAAGTTGGAATTGATTGATTGAACTTTTTAGTCTCACCCAGTCTGCCATTACCACCGCAGCCACGCCCACCCAATGGGCCACACCCACCCGGCACCCGATGATGCATAAGTGGATTTTGGGTTGTAGTTTGGGCACTCAGTCTCTAAAAGGTTCGCCATCACTGTCCTATCCTATCCTATCCTATATCCTATATCCTACTCTATATCCTATTCTATATTCTATCCTATCGCATCCTATCCTATCTCCTATCCTTTCTCTTCTCTATTTTCTATTCTAATTCTATTCTATTCATTCTTAATTCTATTCTATTCATTCTTAATTCTATTCTATTCTATTCTATTCTATTCTATTCTATTCTATTCTATTCTATTCTATTCTATTCTAGCTTTGAATGATATGCTGGTATTACTTTTTAAAAGTGTTATTGCTTATTTTTCTTCCACAGTCAGTAGTGGCCACCAGCATACGCAAGAACCTCAGGAATAAAGAGAAAGCTATTAGTGGATGAACCATAGTTAGAAAGTAGAGAGAATCCTCAGCTTACAACCACAATTGAGCCCAAAGTTTATGTGGCTAAATGAGACACGGGCTAAGTGAGTGTTTGCCCCATTTTACAACTTTTTCTTGCCACAGTTGTTAAGTGGATCCCTGCAGTTGTCAAGTTAGCAACACAGTTGTTAAGTGAATCCGGCTTCCCCACTGACTTGGCTTGTCAAGGTCGCCAAAGGGGATCATATCTCACACACACACACACACACACAGAGAGAGAGAGAGAGAGAGAGAAAGAGAGAGAGAGATGCTGCAACTGTCATAAATATGAACCAGTTGTCAAGCATCCGAATGTCAATCAGATGACTCTGGGGACGCTGGAATGGTCGTAAGAGTGAACAACGGTCACGGGGTCACTTTTTCCCGTGCTGTTGTAACTTTGAACGGTCACTAAATGAATCGTTGTACATTAAGGACAACTTGTAGTCTCTTCCGAGATATTGGGGCTTGCCCTTCTTCAAGTATCTGGACAGACACCAAGAATGGTCTGAGCTACTTAAAAATCCGTGGAGCTGACAATTATGAGGTGCCTCCAGCATCTGTCTGGTTTCAGTGCCTCTGATGTCTCCCGTTAATGAGATGGGATTAATTTATTAGTTAATCTGCATGATGCATCCACATGGCTGGAACAGTTTCTATGTGGTACCAGGCAGGTCTCTGTAAATTTTTGCCTCATCAGAGCCTGTTGCTGAACAGAACAAAATTTTGGCTTTTCTTGGAACACAAGTTGATAGGCTGATTAACTGCGTCAAGTCTTTGCCCTATTTTAAAAAGTAAATTAGTTCAAGGGTTGTGGCCGGGACGTTAGCAGAGCCTAAAGCAGGGGTAGGCAACCTCGGCTCTTTTATGACTCATGGACTTCAACTCCCAGAATTCCTGAGTCAGCCATGCTGAGGGGAAAGGGAGAGGTTTCTATGCTGAGCCATGCTGGCTGAGGAATTCTCGGAGTTGAAGTCTGCAAGTCATGAAGGGGCCATAGTTCCCCCATGCTGGCTGAGGAATTCTGGGAGCTGAAGTCCACGAGTCATGAAGGGGCCATAGTTCCCCCATGCTGGCTCAGGAATTCTGGGAGTTGAAGTCCGCGAGTCATGAAGGGGCCATAGTTCCCCCATGCTGGCTCAGGAATTCTGGGATTTGAAGTCCACGAGTCATGAAGGGGCCATAGTTCCCCCATGCTGGCTGAGGAATTCTGGGAGTTGAAGTCCACGAGTCATGAAGGGGCCATAGTTCCCCCATGCTGGCTGAGGAATTCTGGGAGTTGAAGTCCACGAGTCATGAAGGGAGACATAGTTTCCCCATGCTGGCTCAGGAATTCTGGGATTTGAAGTCCACGAGTCATGAAGGAGCCATAGTTCCCCCATTTTGGCTCAGGAATTCTGGGAGTTGAAGTCCATAAGTCATGAAGGGGGCCATAGTTCCCCCATTTTGGCTCAGGAATTCTGGGAGTTGAAGTCCGCGAGTCATGAAGGAACCATAGTTCCCCCATGCTGGCTCAGGAATTCTGGGAGTTGAAGTCCACAAGTCATGAAGGGGCCAAGGTTGCCTACCCCTGGCCTAAAGTATGAGTGGAACTGTAAGATAGTGGAGAGAAGCTATTTTAATTGCGGGTTTTTTTATACAGGTAGTCGGATTTATGTTGCTCAGCGAGACAGTTCCTAAGCGAGTTTTGCCCTGTTTTATGGCCTTCCTTTTCCCAGTTGTTAAGTGAATCATTGCAGTTGTCATGCTGGCAACACGGTTGTTAACTGAATTTGGCTTTCACCATTGATCTTTGCTTGTTGGAAGGTCGCCAAAGGGAATCCCATGAGCCCCGGGACGCTGCAACCGTCCTAAATCCGAGTCAGTTACCAAGCGTCCGAGTTTTGAAAACGTGGATCAATGGAGGAAAAACGGTCACCAGTCACATTTTTTTCAATGCTGTTGTAACGGCACTGGAGGTCATCTAAAATTTCTGAAAAGACCACTCTGGAAGCATATAGAATGGTCACTAAGCAAGCTGTTGTTAAGTCGAGGACTGCCTGTGCTGTTTTATATTGCTTTTGTAGCATTATTAGCCACATGGCCTTGAAGGTGACATAAAATTTCCAAACAAGCAGTTCTAGAAGCAGGTAAATAAATGGCTTTGTCAATTTGAAACAACGCACGCCATTCCTTTAGAATTTGAAAATTGCTCCTACACCGGTGGTTTTCAAATTACGATCATTTTTTTTTTTTTTTTGAATGACGGGAGTTACGACAGTGGCCTCAAAGGTGACTTACAACCCGGTCCTCACATTTACAACCGCTGCAGGTCTGAGGTGTTGCTTGATAAAAAAAAAAAAAATACAGGCAAACCAGAAGTTGCCTTTCAGCTTTATGTTTTTATTCAGCTGAACAAAGATGGGCTCCTCTAAAAGGGAGAAGCCCCGCATGACAAGAAATCCTCGTATTTATTCTTTCTGATTACAGTAGCGGCCAAAATTGTGAAAACTTTTTGGGAAAAGTATACAGTAGAAATGCCACCTTTGGTTAAGTTTCCACCAGTTTTTCTTTATAGCTGTAGCCTTGTTCACTAAATAATACTATTTTACACCACTTTCCGGGCGACCGGTCAATTGTTTGCACCATGACTTTAATTTTATTACGTTTTGCAAGCTCATTCAATGAAAGAACACAAAAAAACCCAATCCGACTAGATAGCGATCACAACACACACTGACAAATGTCCTCCTCTCAGCTTCAATACAGGACATCGGTAACTGAATCCTACTGTGATCTGATTGGCTCATGGCCAAAACAAGATGACACCTGACTGGCTCTCTAAACGCTCATGCTCATTGGCTACAATCAGATGAAGGAAAGCTACCTGAGATCAACCTAAGCAAGTTGTGCTTCCTTTTTCTGGTTATTTGGCTATAACCTTTCATAGAATACAGATAATTGAACAAACTTTGTTGCATTATATTCCTGATTAAATTATCTTTCCATTGATATATAATTTTATGGTACTACTCCCCCCCAAAAGGGGTGTTATTAGCCATCAGACCTCAAAAATACACTTTTCCCAGAAGGTTTCCACAATTTTGTACATAAGCAACCCACCCAGCAAAGCTGACACACACAAAGATAAAAGATTTTGCCCTTTTAAGGCTGGTACCCTGTAGATAAGAAGGAAGAAAGCAGAAGGAGCTAAAAATGTTCCGTTTGGGGCGTTTCTGTAAAGACATTGTATGTTCCCGGGTGGGTTAGGACATTGGGTGTTTTCCTTGCTGTCCTTTGGTGACCCTGCATCCATGACTCTGCAAGTGCCCAAAGAGAGCAGGGCCATTTGCACACGTTCACAAGTGATGCTTTCCTATGCTGTTTCCTAATTTCGGGTCAACAGTATCCATGCAGCCATGTGATCAAACTTCTGCCACTTGGCAACTGGCATCTAAGGATGGCAATTGCAGTATCGCAGAGCCACGTGATTATGGCTTTATAACCTTCCCAGCTGGCTTCTGACAAAGAAAATCAATGGGGGATTTGTTTAACTAGTGCAGGGGTAGGCAACTTCGGCTCTTTTATGACTCGTGGACTTCAACTCCCAGAATTCCTGAGTCAGCATGGGGGAACTATGGCCCCTTCATGATTTGGGGACTTCAACTCCCAGAATTCCTCAGCCAGCATGGGGAAAACTTTGACCCCTTCATGACTCGTGGACTTCAACTCCCAGAATTCCTGAGCCAGCATGGGGGGAACTATGGCTCCTTCGTGACTTGTGGACTTCAACTCCCAGAATTCCTGAGCCACCATGGAGGAACCATGGCCCTTTTATGACTCATGGACTTCAACTCCCAGAATTCCTGAGGCAGCATGGCTCAGCTTGGAAACCTCTCCCTTTCCCCTCAGCATGGCTGGCTCAGGAATTCTGGGAGTTGAAGTCCACGAGTCATAAAAGAGCCAAGGTTGCCTACCCCTGAACTAGTGAATGATTCGCTTAACGGCCCTGGCCAAAATAGTGATGAAACCCAGCGCGACTCGCTTAATGATTGCATCGCTTAGCAATGGACGTTCTGGACCCAATTACGGTTGGAAGTCAAGGACCATCTGTGTAGCAAGAGAAAATGATGGGGGAGAAAAAGCTGGAGGGAAAAACCAGCTGGCAGACTTTGCTGGAAGCATGAAAAATGGAGGTTAAACAATAAAATGTCTCACTCTACTGCTCTCCCCATGTGTCATCGGATTTTAATGCTTCACTTTAATTTATGTTTTAATGTATAAATACATTTTTACGAGGGTAAGAGAGCCCAGAGTTACCCTCTGGTAAGATGGGCGGCCAATAAATTTTAGAAATAAATATCTATATACCTATATACCTATATACCTAGATAGATAGATAGATAGATAGATAGATAGATAGATAGATAGATAGATAGATAGATAGATAGATAGATAGGCAGGCAGGCAGGCAGGCAGGCAGGCAGGCAGGCAGGCAGGCAGGCAGGCAGGCAGGCAGGTAGATAGTAGGTAGGTAGGTAGGTAGATAAATAGGTAGATAGATGTAGGTAGGTAGGTAGGTAGGTAGATGTAGGTAGGTAGGTAGATAGACAGATGTAGGTAGGTAGATAGATAGATAGATAGATAGATAGATAGATAGATAGATAGATAGATAGATAGATAGATAGATAGATAGATAGGCAGGCAGGCAGGCAGGCAGGCAGGCAGGCAGGCAGGCAGGCAGGCAGGCAGATAGAGACAGACAGACAGATAGTACGTAGGTAGATAGATGGTAGGTAGGTAGGTAGGTAGCTAGGCAGGCAGACAAGACAGACAGACAAAAATGTTGTGAAATTCTAAACAGATTTGGAGGGAGGAAGCTGTCATGTGTCATCAGATTTTAATGCTTCGCTTTAATTTATATTTTAATGTAGAAATACAGTTTTATGAGGGTAAGAGAGCCCAGGGTTACCCTGTAGTAAGATGGGCGGCCAATAAATTTTAGAAATAAATAAATACCTATATACATAGACAGACAGACACACAGGCAGGTAGGCAGACAAGACAAGGCAGACAAAAATGTCATGAAATTCTAAACAGATTTTTTTTTGGGGGGGGGGGGAAGCTGTTGGATAAAAAAAATTCCTTAGAACAGCTCACATTATTTTTCAGGGCTGAAATGTCACACTCTCCAAGCTGTATTTCGCGTGCGGGCACACAGGTTGGCCCTTCAAACTCAAAGATCCCACTAAAGTCGAAGAGAAACCGTTGGATCGGACCACGTCATAGACGGGGAAAAAGCCCACGTACCTGTGACGCATAAGTATGCCATTATATATCGCTTCTCAAGGCCATCTTTGTAACTCTGAATTGCACCATAGATGGGAGGGAGAATGAAAATCAAGTTGCTAACGGTGTTCCCTGCGGAGAAAAACAAAACACAAAACACAAGGCATGAACAAAACTTGAAGATGATTTATAGCCTATTCATTAAAAAAAAAGGACATTTCTGAGAGGAGAATACGAGGCTCTTCTAAGGCCCCGTGGGCTCTCTTTTCCTACAATTAGGCGATGAATTGTACGTTATAATACATAAATGAATGACAGGGCGGGGAGAGCAGAGAAGCTTGGAATGACCGCAGCGGGCGCAGCAGTAGACAATATATATTTCACTTATCTTTGACAACAAAATCGTTTCCTTTACAATAAGGGAAACAAATTGTTGTTCTTCCGCATTCCGCATGAAAAGAAACCGGAGCAGTCATTTTAAAAAGCAATTTTATGAACCTTGGCCAACAGTTGGGACAATTGCATCATTTTCAGCGGCGTTTCCACCCATTTTTAAACATTTTTTTTTTGGGGGGGGGGGATATATTTTTTTAAAAAATTGCTGCCGATTCCCAAAGGTCTCTGGACAGTTAATACAGATAGTCCTCGAATCACGACCGAAATTGAGCCCCCCAATTTCCACGGCTAAGCAAAGCGGTTGTTAAATGAGTTTTTCCCCATTCTGCCTTTTTTTTTTTTTTTAAAAAAATCACAGTAACTTAAGCGAATCGCTACATCCATTAACCGAACCGTACGGTCGTTAAGCGAATCGAGCTTCCCCCGCTGACTTTGTTCTCGGAAGCCGGATGGGAAGGTTGCAAAAGGGGATCACGTGAACCCCTGAACACTGCAACCGTCATAGATACATGTCAGTTGCCAAGTGCCCAAATGTGATCACGTGACCTGGGTGGGGGTGCTACATCAATCGTTAAGTGTGAAAAATACTCATTAAATCACTTTTTCAGTGTTGCTGTAACTTCGAACGTCACTAAAAGAATGTAAATCGAGGACCCAGATATGATGACTTTGTAAATGGCTTAGAGAGGCTGTAAAGCATTATGAAGTGATATATAAGTCTAAGTGCTATTTCTTTCTTTCTCTCTTCTCTTTCTTTCCTTCCCTTCCTTTCTTTCTTTTCTTTTTTCCTTCTCTTTCCTTTCTTTTTTCCTTCTTTCCTTTTCTTTCTTTCTCTTTCTTTCCTTCTCTATTTTTCTTTCTTTTTTTCCTTTCTTCCTTTTCTCTTTTTCTTTTTCTTTTCTTTCTCTTTTTCCTTTCTTTCTTTTTCTTTCCCTTTTTCCTTCTCTTTCCTTTCTCTTTCTTTCTTCTGTTTTCCGTCTCTTTCCTTTTTTCTTTCTTTCTTTCTCTCTCTTTCTTTCCTTCTCTATTTTTCTTTCTTTCTTTTTCCTTCCTTCCTTCTTCTTTCTTTCCTTTTCTTTCCTTCCTTTCTTTCTTTCTCTTTTTCTTTCCTTTCTTTTTCTTTTTTCCTTCTCTTTCCTTTCTTCTTTCTTTCTTTTCTTTTTTCTTCTCTTTCTTTCTTTCTTTCTTTCTTTCTTTTGTTCTTCCTTCCTTCCTTCCTTTTCTTTCTTTCCTCCTTTCTTTCCTGTGGCACAGTGTTTAGAATGTAGGGTTGCAGGCTAACTCACTGCCCACAGCCAAGAGTTTGATCCTGACCAGCTCAAGATGGACTCGGCCTTCCATCCTTCTGAGGTCGGTAAAATGAGGAGCCGGATGTTTGGGGGCAAATATGCTGACTCTGTAAACCGCTTAGAGAGGGCTGTAAAGCAGTGTAAAGTGGCATATAAGTCTGAACTGCTATTGCTATTTACCTGTGAGGTATCTTTGCCACCTTGCATCGACCAAACTATATAAAAGCTGGGATAAAAATCTAATAAAAATAACAACAATATCCAGTCGTGGGAATCAGAGATTATGCATGTACAATTTTAGACCTCGGTGCTTCCTCCCCCGCCAAGTTCTGATGACAAACACTTTTCAAAAAGCCACACTAAGCAACGCAGCGTAATCACGATGTTATGCTTGTAGGCGGTGATTAAGAAAGATACCCTCAATCTATCTGGGAAAGTATAATGAACTCCAAAGCCAAGTAGCCACTGAGATGACATTCAAAGAGCTCTAGGCGGATAAAACACTGGGAGGAAAACGCCGCAGGAATAATATTTACGGGATTGAGCAAGGAACTCCATTGTCTTCCAAGCTCGCATCGATGCAAAATTCATTCTTTCCCAATTGGGCAACTAGGGAGAATATTTGTAGCTCTGGACTGAACGATTAGAGGCGGTCCTTGACTCAGCGTCAGGTCGTTTCATGACCGTTCCAACTTACAACGGCACTGAAAAAAGGGACGCGAGTGTTTCTCACACTTACGACCGTTGGAGATCCCCGGGATCACGGGACCCAAATTCAGATGCTTCGCAACTGATTCATATTTATGACCGCCGCCATGTCCTGGAGTCACGTGATCCCCTTTTGCGACCTTCTGCTTGTCAGGGGATCACGTGACCCCAGGACACGGCGGCGGTGATAAATACAAATCAACTGCCAAGCATCTGACGAGCAAAGTCAACGGGGAAGCCAGCTTCACTTAACATCTGCGTTTCTAGAACCGGGGAGACACCATGGTTAGAATGCAGCATGGCAAACTAATTCACTGCCCATTGACAGGAGTTCGATCCTGACCGGGTCAAGGTTGACTCGGCCTTCCATCCTTCCCAGGTCGCTAACAGGAGGACCCAGATTGTTGGGAGTCAATAGGCCAGTGATGGCAAACCTTTTAGAGACCGAGTGCCCAAACTGCAATCCAAAACCCACTTATGCATCGTCGAGTGCCGGCTGGGTGTGGCCCATTGGGTGGGTGTGGCCCATTGGGTGGGTGTGGCTACAGTGGTAACAGCATACTGGGTGGGACTAAAAAGTTCAATCAATCAATTCCAACTTTGCGAGATCTTTTTTTTCCCGTGAGAAGTTGAAATTAACTGACTGAACCTTTTTTTTTTTTTGCACATGGCAGCGGAGGCCTAAAGATTTTATAAAACCCAGCTGAAGGCCTAGGACTGGGGCGACGGTATGCGTGCCCACAGAGAGGGCTCTGAATGCCACCTCTGGCACCCGTGCCATAGGTTCGCCACCACTGCAATAAGCTGACTCTGTAAACCGCTCAGAGAGGGGCTGTAAAGCACCGTGAAGCGGTATATAAGTGTAAGTGCTATTGCTATTGCTACTAAGAATCAGAATAGAGATGGAAAGGACCTTGGAGGTCTTCTAGTCCAGGGCTTTTCAACCAATGGTACGGGTACTACCTGTAGTACATTGGCACCTGGCAGGTGGTACGCGACCATCCTAGAAAAGGGGTAGCAGGGGAGGGGAATGAGCTGAACCGGTGGCAGCACAACCGCACAAGCCTGAGCGAGAGACGGCTGGAGCTGCAGGGCTGTCAGGGCTCAGCAGAAGCGCCAGGATCAGCGCTTCTTCAGGACTGTCAGGGCTCAGCAGATGCACCAGGATCAGCGCCAGGCTCCAGCTGGAGCTCGGCGCTGATCCTGGTGCTTCTGCTGAGCCCAGAAGAAGCGCCGATCAGCTGGAATGTTGCAGCATCTCCAGGATCTTGTGATTTACATTCAGATGCTTGGCCACTGATTCGTATTTATGACGGTCTCAGTGTCCCAGGGTCATGTGAAGTGACCAAAACCTGCTGCAACCACTCAGCAGACAGGGGGGGCAATAAAAACCAAACACCCCCCCACCCCTGCTGCCAATCCTCAAAAGAAATGCTCACAACAATGAAAACCTCAGACAGGAGAAAGAGCGCGGCCGGGCGGGCAGGCAGGTGTCTTGCTTGGCTGTGGCTTGGGGGGGGGGGCACTTTTTTCAATGCCATTGTAACTTCGAACAGTCATTAAGCAAACTGTTGTAAGTCAAGGACTACCTGTACTTTATCACTTTTTTCCTTTTTTTTTTTTTTTTGGTCCTCAAGTTTTTGACACCTTGTTGGCGACTGGTGGTACTCGGATACTGCCATATCCTAAAAATGGTACAATGGGTGAAAAGGTTGAAAAGCCCTGTTCTAGTCCAACCCCCTGTTCAGGCAGGAGACCCTATACCATTTCAGACAAATGGCTGTCCAGTCTCTTCTTAAAAACTTCCAGTGTTGGAGTATTCACCACTTCTGGAGGCAGGTTGTTCCACTGGTTAATTGTCCTTGCTGTCGGGATGTTTCTCCTTAATTCCAGGTTGCTTCTCTCCTTGATGAGTTTCCATCCCTTGTTTCTTGTCCTTCCTTCTGGGAAACTAACTTAACAACTGTAGTGATTCAGTGAACAAGATGTAAACCGGGGCAAATTTTAACAACTTAGAAACAGAAATGTAGGCCTCAATTGTGATTGTTAAGTTTCGTTACCCAAATAGGCACGCTCATTTCTAGCTTGTCAAAACAGGAAAGCGGTCATGGGGCGATAAGAGTAAAGCTAAAGCACTTGTCACTTGGACTGGGAACGCAACCCTGCAGGAAAACAACCAAGCTCAGAGAACGCAACAACAACGACTCGACAAAGGCACAACTGCAAGCAAACAAGGACACAGATCATCAGCTACTTCTATCACGATGAGCTGTCCACTCCATCAAAAGATAGGGATTGAACACTTAAGTTTTAGGAGGATAATAGATTTTTTTTTTTTTTTTGCTTAACAGAACTGGTTACTCATCGTTTGAAGCAGTTTAAATTTAAATTTAGAAACTTTTTTTTTAAGACTTATAAGGCTGCCCAGCTCAAACAATATGGCTTTGGGCAGCGTACAGCCAAAAACAAAATAAAACAATAAACCAATCACCAAACCCCATATAACATGAAACATATAAAAGGTATACAGGAGGATCTGGACAGACCTGAACACTGGGCACTATTTAACAAAATAAAATTCAATGGTGAAAAAAGTAAAGGTTCTAAATTTAGGCAAGAAAAACCAAATGTACAGGTATAGTAGGGGGTACCTTGCTCAATAGCAGTAACTGTGAGAGGGATCTTGGAGTCCTAATGGACAATCACTTAAATATGAGCCAGCCGTGTGCCGCAGCTGCC